GCCGTTTCATTTAATCAAGATGAACGTCTGTAGCCTTCTTTTCAAGGACTCTCCCCCCCTCTCTCTCCCCTCTCTCTTTTCTCTCTCTCCCCTCTCTTTTCTCTCTCCCCCCTCTTTCTCTCTCAATCTCTCTCCCCTCTCTTTCTCTCCCCCTCTTTCTCTCTCTCTTTCTCTCCCCCTCTCTCCCCCCTCTCTCCCTCTCTCCCTCCCTCTCCCCCCTCTCTCTTTCTCTCTCTCTCTCTCTCAATCTGAACGATGGCATACGGCGATTGAAAAAAGAAGCCGACGCCATATTTGAGACGTTAAGAAAATGGAGACACTATTTAATCGAACATCAATTCAGATTAGTTACAAACCGAAAATCTGTTTCGTCTATGGTCAACTCAAAGGCTACCAGTAAAATAAAAAATGAAAAAATAGCAAGGTGGAGAATTGAACTATCTTGTTTCTCGTTCGATATTACTTACCGGCTCGGCAAGGAGAATCTGACAGCAGACGCCTTGTCAAGAATATGCAGTATAACTCCAAGTACAAAAGAACTCCAGACACTACACGAGGAACTGTTCCACCCGGGCATAACACGGATGGTTCACATGGTAAGGAGTAGGAATTTGCCTTATTCAATGGAGGACGTTAGGAAAGTTACAAATTCCTGCCGAACGTGTCCTGAGATAAAACCTAAATTTTACAGACCTACGCTTGGGGTCCCAATAAAAGCAACACAGCCATTTGAAAAAAACTCAATCTAGACTTTAAAGGATCGTTAGCATCCAAAACATGAAACCGATACATGCTAACTATTGTAGATGAATATTCACGGTTTCCTTTTGTTTTTCCCTGTCCAGATATGACTGCAACAACAATTATACAATGTCTTTGTTCTCTATTTGCCGTCTTTGGAGTACCGGCATACATACATTCAGATCGAGGAGTTTCTTTCATGTCCGAGCAGCTTCAGCAATTCTTACAAGAACGCAGGATGGCGGTAAGTCGGACAACCCCGTACAACCTCCAGGGTAACGGTCGATGCGAGAGATATAACGGCTTAATTTGGAAAACAATTCAATTGGCTGTTTCAGCACACAAATGCTCAATAAATAATTGGGAAAATCTCCTTCCAGTAGCCCTGTATGCCATCAGATCGCTATTATGTATGGCCATCAATGCAACTCCCACACGAAAGATTTCTACCCTTTCAACAACGCAGTTCGGCTGGAACTTCGCTTCACATTTGGCTCTCTCAACTAAGGTACGGTTCAACTGAGACGCCACATTCGCTATACCAAACATGAACCCCCCCAACCTGGTCGACGAGGTGGAAATAATAGAAGTAAACCCACAATACGTGACACCCGGATGGAAGTCAAACTACCATTTCCCTAGTGAGGAGATCTGATCTCTTGGACACTGAAAACCAATCGGGAGATCACCGTGCCGGAATCACTCCCTATACATTACCCTAGGATGATGACACAGTTTCCTTTGCGCCTCCTACAGACATTTCAGAGGGATTAACATCCGGGACCCTGACAACTCCAGACGATCCTGATGAGAGATCAATGCCCCAGACGCGGGTACATCGAGAAACAGATCCGGAAGATCCACATTCAGACTCAGAGTGTCCTCGTCCATCAAGAAGGACGAGATACTTCCATTTCCGGACTAACGGGCGAGTTCAAAATGAGAGATTTTCAAACCCGAATAGTCCAATACAAGAACTACCCAGGCGTTCACAGGGATTTTCTCCCTTATGAATAAAATACGTAGGGGAAAATCTATTAATAAACCATCAGTTACCCCCCACCCCCTTAAGATCTAGGAGGTTTAAAAAGCACCCTGTAGAACCCGTCAGTAGACGAGTAAAGTGCAATAAAGTTTTGGTATAAGTTTATTCCCTGGTTCTGTTTATACTACACCCACCAGCTGAGAGCGCGTTTTAGAGATTATTTTTTTTATTATTGCTACTTGGATGCCTTTGAGCCAACCATATCAGAGAGAAATTGGCTTCATTTGAACTCCATCTTCTTCCTTATCGTTGCTTTTTTGCAAAAATTATTGAAATTCTTATTGTTTTTTCTTTTCTTTTCTGAAAACTCACCGCGGACCAAAATTGCCGCCTGAGGAGGACCGCCACTACTGGCCATACTCTAAAGTTGCTAGATTCAAAACAGGTACAACCTGTACTTATTAATTGGATAATTTTATTTTTTATAAACTTCAGTATAAGCACATATTTACAATTCTTGAAAACTTTAACTGTCTATTTGTTATCTAAGAACATCAGAAGTCAATAGAATTTCATTTTGGGAGCTTCAAAGAATACATTATAAATTTCTTTTTACTTACTCGGGTATCTAATTTGTCACAGTGTTGTTTGTATTCATTCCTTTCCCGTTCAACTTTTTCAAATTTAACTTTCAGCTGTTCTAATTCAGCCTGTAATTTACAAAGGGCAAATAAGGAAGCATTTATTCAAAGTCAGTAGAACTTACAATTTAAGCAGCATGTATATTATTAAAAGATCAACAATAAAAAAAAAACATTTTCGAAAGGAGAATAAAGAAACTGTTAATAAAGAGATTCAAACACCAGTTGATGAGAAAATGATCTTATTTCAAAACACGTTATCTAATCTAAGAAGTGAATTAATATTTATGTATTATTACTGAATTAATCAATGTAATATTTTAAGAGTGGATATAGATAAATTATCTTGTTGATACTGTCAAACTTGAGTGTTAGAGTCTTTGAGTAATGTTTGCTTTTTATTGCTAGGTACTGGAAAGAGATAGATAAAAAATATTCATTCCTTGAAAACTTTAACAGAATACTTTAACTGCCTATTTGTTATTTATGATCATCACAAGTCAGTTGAGCCTCGATAAACTACATCCGGCAGCAAGGACTCCGATCTGAAGGTTTTGAGCAGACGTGGAACCATCTCTTAAATGCCGTTGTCCTTATGTCCACCCTGACCCGGAGTTGTAGCAAAAAATTTAGAATTTAACCATAAGTTATCAAAAGCCACCAACAGGGTTAGCGACAAGAACTTTTCAAATTTCCAGTGTCTCTTTGATGTGATAGTTTTTTTCTTTCTTGTATTTTTTTATTTTAATCTATTTTGTTAAAATAAAAGTAAAACCCTGTAAAAAACAGTACAACTGGTAAAAGATTTAGTGGGGAGCCAAGCACCCTCCTCCGCTGCTACGGCCCTGTCACTTGTTTTATGCTTGGATCAAATAAATAAAAAAAACATTTCAAATAAACTATAGTAGAATTGTTAGAATTATTGAATAAAGTATAAAATAATTTATTTAGTAACTTTTTGTTTCATTTTTAAGTCATACTGATGTGAGTAGTGTAGTTGCTTTAGATTTAATCAAATATGAGTATACAGGGTGCTATGGGGAAATTGTCGCCATTTTATATTTTTAATTTCGCGCATGCGCGTTGTCTATTTTTGATTTTGTCGACGGCACGGTATAGTGTGATCATTTGGTCTGTGAGGATAAGAGCATCATGACACAATTCTCTCCGCCAGAAATTTGGAAATGGCATGCTGTACTGCTTGGCATTCACGCCGGAAGCTCCAATATGAACATTTCAGAGTGTATAGGTGTCACTCTGAAGAGAGTACAGAAGATTCGAAAAATTTATAATGGTGAGGACGAATGTGTTTAGAGAGATCACTAGTGATGGCGACGTTATGCCTCCATTCATCTTCCTAGAGGCCTACATCAAGTGCCTTGAGGAGGTAGTGCTCTCCTGGATCAGAAGGGTGGCTGTTGGAAGACCCTATGTCTTGCAACAGGACTCTGCACCATACCAGACAAGCAGGAGAACCCAGTCATGACTGTCAGACAATTTCTGCAACCGTATCACCCTTACAACCGGCCACCTAACTCCCCAGACTGCAACCCCCTTGATTATTATTTGTAGGGCGCAGTTGAGCAAGATATCAATTAAACTCTTTATAACACCAAAGATGAACTGAAGACAAGGATTATAGCAGCATTCACCAACTTAAACAAGGAGACCACCCAGAAGAGTTGCAGGAGATTCCAAAGTCGTCTAGAGGCAGTGGTTGAAGCCAATGGCAATTTTATTAAATAAATTTACTCTTTAGTATTTCAAGATATTTTTGTATAATTTTGGTAAATATATCTGTTAAAATGAGATGTCAGCATTATTTTCATTATTGCATAATTTAGACGACAATTTATCCATCGCATCCGGTAGTTGCCTATAAATCAGTTGCTGATTTTTAAAAAAAAAATAGTTTGCTGACCACGTCCTTTTATTAGCTTTCTACCAGAAACTGTAATTAAAATCTGCTCAGCATAGTTGCACTATAAACCACAGGTTAGCTTTGTGGGTCTTGAACAAGTACATGCATGTCTGAGCAGGTGTCTGCAACTTGGATTGATTAACTGCAATATAAAATGAACACATTTGTATGATTATGATAGAATAGGGACGTGGAAGTTGAGATAAAAAGCAACAGACACAAGATCAAAGGAATACGAGTCACAGGTAAACCAAAGTCTTTATGCTAAAGAGAACAGGTAGATATCAACTTTGGCTAAATAGAAGTGGTAGTACGAGAGAGAGAGGGGGGCGGTGGAGGAATGGATAGCGGCTCGGATTGAGGAATCGGGGAGCTGAGTTCGAATTCCAATCGAATCCATTAATACCTTTGGGAAAGGTATGGATCCTCTTCTCGCCCCAGCTATGTGTAAATAGCAGGATAGACCGGGTTCTATAGCCTTGGATGGCAACTGGTCTACCGCAGAAAGAAATGGCAACCTACTGCGGGAAAAAAATCTACCTCGTCAGTCATGTATCGAAAGATACATGATCGCCTAAGCATGACTGAATATTAAAATCACTCTATTTTTTAACATTTTTTTAAAGATATGTGTCTGTAGCAAAACGATGTCCATAAAAGACCTTGCAGCCATGTGACTGGGATCTACAACTGGGGATGGACATATAGAGACTTAAATTGTCTGAGTACGAGAGACAGAGATAGAGAGAGAAATAGAGATATATAGAAATAGAGAGAGAAAGATAAAAAAATATAGATAGATAGAGAGAGAGAGAGAGAGGAAGAGAGAGAGTGGAGGAGGAGGAGGAGGAGGAGGAGGAGGAGGAGGAGGAGAAGTCACAAGAGAGAAAGTGAGGAATGAGTAATAAATTATGGAGGGGATAAAAAGGAGAGTTGTCTGTAAGTCTTGATATATCGGTAAGTAATGCAAAACGGGAGTGGATGAAAAATGACGTCTGAAGCGGATTTGTAGTCTCTTGTTGGAAGCGAGGAAAAATGGATAATTGCCACAAAGCTTTTGTGTCTTGCTTTACGATCTACAAAGATTCAGTCTCGTCTCTCTCGGAGAGGGAAAGTCACCGTTGCCCCGTGTTCTGGACAAATAAGAAAAAAATGACGACTTTCTGACACGCATGCACAATCATTATCTCTCACTTTCTAATATATATTGTAACAATATGAAATGTAACACACACACACACACATATATATATATATATATATATATATATATATATATATATATATATATATTTCGATTATAAGTGCAGTTCAATTTATAATTACATGAATCATTCATACAAAAAACAAATATAGAAGTTAATAATTTAAATGGCGAGAATACATCTTCGCAAACAATCTCAATACGATACACTAACCCCGAACCTGTATATGAATGATATGATCCCTGTTTATAAATTCAAGTTTCATAAGGTCTTTTTAATTTTTTACAAGCTTCCATCTGTTCCTACAGACATCTTCAGGTATGGAAATAGATTTTGTTCTTGTTTTTTTACTTCTCGGTAATAAGAGGACAACGAAAATAGAGATGTAATCCGAAAAAATGCTATGAGAAATGTGTTATTGTTTTGGAACGTGCGGTCGCAACGCTGAGTTTGAATTTTAAATTTTAAGGTTGTGCGTTTTTGTACAAATATAGTAATAGGAGAATTCTTTTGTACTGGTAGGTTTTCCGTCAATGTGGCATGAACTATCTTGTTCAATAATTACAGGAATGTCACACTTATTATCCGAAAGTTGCACGTTGGATCAGTTATTTTAATTTCGATTATAGGTGCAGTTCAATTAACAATTACATGAATCATTCATACAAAAAACAAATATAGAGGTTAATGATTTATTACCGATTGATGAAGGAATACTTTGATGAGAAGCAGGTGAGTGTTATGACATGGCCGCCCCAATCTCCTGACCTCAACCCCATAGAAAACTTAGGGAGCATTATAAAGTACAGGCTCTCGAGAAAGCAGTTGGGCAACAAAGAGGATTTGGTTGTGAATTTAATATCCGAATGGAATTCAATGCTTGGAAATGAAATTTGCCAGAACCTAATCAAGTCAATGCCAAAAAGGCTTGAAAAGGTTATTCAAAATAAAGGAGGACCCATAGATTATTAAATATTTCGAAATATATTACCTATTATAAATAAATTATACCTCTATTATTCTTTATTTAAAGCTGTTCGGTTATGTTTCTATTGATTACTAGTTGCAGGAAATAAGTGAGTCACTTTTTTGGCACAGAGTTTTTCCCTAAATCTCATTTTTATCCAAAATTATAATTATCAGTAGAATACCTTAGGGTAAGTAAACTTTTTTACTAGGTGGTCGGGAAGGGGTCTTTATATTAGTAAGATTAAAAATTTGATCCCAAAAACAATAGGTGAAAAAATTTTAAGTAAAAAATCGGGTGAGTCAGTTTTATCGAACAGCACTGTATATACGAGGGTCATTCAATAAATAAGGTGAATTTTTCGGTATAAGGACTTCTAATACAGATAGAAGCTTACTTTTTTTTTTATTTTTCAACGCAATCTCCCAGCACTGTCACACACTTTTCCCATCTGTGCACAAGCTTCCGTATTCCCTCAGCGTAAAAATCTTTGGACTGATGTCTCAGCCAGTCGCTCACAACACTTTTGCCTTCATCGTCACTTTTAAACTTCGTGCCTCTCGTGAACACTTTCAAGGGACCAAACAGGTGAAAGTCTGAAGGGGCAAGGTCTGGGCTTTAAGGGGGGATGAGGGAGAAGTTCCCAGCCCAGCTCATTGATGGTCTGCACCGTTTGGGCTGCTGTGTGAGGCCTTGCGTTGTCATGATGCAAGATGACTCCTTCTGACTGATGACCCCTGCGTTTGTTCTTTATGTCTTTCTTAACCTGCCTCAGCAGTTCACAGTAGTTCTTCTGTCAGACTGAATGAGGTCATTGACTGATTTGATCACCTCAGGAGACCTCACTTCTGTAGGCCTCCCAGGCCTGTCTTCATCCTCAACACTGCTCCGTCCTTCTTTAAACAATTTAGCCCACTTGTAGACATTTTTTTGGCTGAAACATGTGGCACCATACACAGTTGACATTCGCCTATGAATTTCAAATCGTTTGCATCCTTCAGCAACCAAAAACTTGATAACTGACCGCTGTTCAATTCTGGAGCATGCTTCTTGGTCGGCCATCTTTGTTCATCGCCAAAACACTCAAAGTTTGATTTTTTTTAATCTGCAAAAGAAATTAAATCCATGTGAAAAAGAAGTAAAACAATTTTTTTTTTAAAAAAAAGTAAGCTTCTATCTGTATTAGAAGTCCTTATACCGAAAAATTCACCTTATTTATTGAATGACCCACGTATATTTAACAAATAACGGCCTCGTATATACAGTGGAACATCAAAACTCTTCAAATCGTGTAACAGTATAATTATGCATCTCACAAAATGTTTAATATCTAAAAAAAATCACTAAACTAATTGAGTTTCTTTTTCCCCATGTTTTCAGATTGTCAGATAAGGCGTTTAATCATCTTGACACCATTTCTCGTATGAATCCTGAAAAACCCTTTGAGTTATTCAGCTAAAAAGGGTACAGATTAAGATTTTTTTGGCTCAGACCCACTGTCAACCCAACTGAGCAATGTTGAGTAGGAAAATATCATTCAAACCTTCAGTAATGCTATCAATATTCATACTCTGGCTACCATCTTTAAACTTCATTCAAGAACCATCAAGAGAACTGTGAATAAGTTTGAAAAAGAGAGAACAGTATGGAGGAAAACTGGACCAAGTGGTCAGAACAGGAAGAGGGATCATCATTTCAAATTAAAGCTAAAGAGATCAATTAGAAAATTCATAAGGCGAGAGGAGTTTCAGCTATGACAGTCCAAAGAGCAATGAAAAATGCCTTGAAAATGAAATCGTCCGTGAAACGTATGAGGCAACTTGTTACTCCAGGACAGAAAATTAGAAGGTTAGAGAAGACGAAGACTTCATGAATGATTATGTGTATGAAACATAATAACTATCTATAGTACATTATAACAACATTATTAAATAAATTTAAACATGCATAACAACAAAATAAATTTAAATATACATAACACAACATATAGAATTCACTAAATTAGTACATTTTATAAATAAATATCTCAGATGTTTGGAAAGTACTTGATAGGTAAAAACGCTATGTGGGTAAGTCATTGTATAAGATAATCAGCATAACTGTAAAATTGTGTAACATAATGGTGAATAAATAAATAAATAGATGCATGCCGGTTTGCCGCGTCACGTATTTTGAAATAAATAATTTTTGACGAAGAAACAAGTATGTATAATAAAATATATAATTAATTATTTATTGATCTAAGTAATTATTATTATTTATTGATCTAAGTAATATTATAAAACGTGATTAATAATAATAATTACAATAATTTGTAAGGAACCCAACAGGTTTATGGGTGGTCTAGAAAACACACACACACACACACACACACATATATATATATATATATATATATATATATATATATATATATATAAGGATTTTATTATTCAGAGAATTGATAGTAAGTTAATGACTATTAAGTCTTGTTAGCGAAGTGATTTCGCCATTAGTCACATTAGATTGGTATTAATTCTTTGTTTAATTTGTATCTTTTTTATATATATATATATATATATATATATATATATATATATATATATATATATATATATATATATATAAGAGCAGAGTTCGAATTCCATTCGAGTTCATTATATTCACTAACGTGCAAATACCCTTGGAAAATGTATGAATATATATATATATATATATATATATGTAACGTTACAAATTTGATATATTTATGGTAGAAGAATGTTCAGAATATTAGATGAACTGTTAGACAGTGTGTACATAAGAATCAAACCTTGAATAATGTCTGTCAGTTTTACACGATCTTCAGGCCACATGCCACTACTTCATTCCCGAGTATTATAGACAAGAGGTTTTTAAGGATTGACGGAAGGTGGAAACTGACCTTTATCGAATTTGATAAATGGTTTCCTTTGTAAAAAAGGATTACACTTTCCATGAATTTTGCATTGTAGTCTGAATGACCGGGTCCTACATCCGCGACTTCCCGGATCTTCCATTGACCTATGTAAAGAATCCACTAAATGAGTAGTGCAACATGGTCTAAAGATCAGCTAAGTCTCTCTCTCACACTCACTCTCTCTCTTTCTCTCTCTCTCTCTCTCTCTCTCTCTCTCTCTCTCTATATATATATATATATATATATATATATATATAATCCAATCGTTTTTAACGAATCATGTAATGGAAGTAGAGTTGAACAACCATGATTCTGGATCATTTCACATTAGTGCTGGAGTACCCCCAGGGATCTATACTTGCATCAACCTTGCTTCAAAGACATTCCCGATGTCTTCAGTTCTCAAATAGATATTTGACAAAGTAAAATGATCTCCTATCAGTTACTGACTGAGCAAAAAAAAAGGCTTGTAAATTTGAACCCCTCCAAAATGAAACTGCTATCTTTTAATCGTCACAGAGAATCAACATGGCTGATGCTAACCTCCAGTAGAACGACTCATTGCGCCTTCTTGGTTTCACGTTTTCCACTGACATGAATTGGCGTAATTATATTAAATCAATTACTAAGTGTTCTGCTAGAAATGTTGGTCTTGAAGCTTTTAAGTTTAATTCCAAGTTAATAGATAAGTTTTAATATTTACAATAATCAAAATAATTTTCTTCATTTCAAACCGAATATAAATTGATTGGAATGACTTTTTCTTTGATTATCAGTAATCGCGAAAAATCGTCGACATTGACAAATCTGTCAACACAATTTAATTCTCTTTATTAAAAAATCTTTCAATAATAAAATATACTTTTTCTGAAACTTTTATGAGATGTTGACACATTTATCGACCACATGATATCTGGGAAATTTATCTAAGGTGGAGATAAATGCAATAAAATTGTGTGAAGAATACAAAGTAAACCCCTTTTTTGTATATTTTTTAACTGTTTAAGAATGTGCTTTGTGGTGTAATGGATTTAGATTGAGAACTCAAAGAGCAGAGTTCGAATTCCATTCGAGTTCATTATATTCACTAACGTGCAAATACCCTTCGGAAATGTATGAATTATCTCTTCTCCCCAGCTATGGGTTAAATATTAGGACAAACTGGGTTCTTTAGCCTTGGTTGGCAACTAGTCTACCACAGAAAGAAATTGCATCCTACTGCGGGAAAAATCTTCTGTCTCGTCAGTCATGTATCTATCGATACATGATCACCCAAGTGTATATAACGTTTGGTACTCAACTGTCAGAATCATAAAATGTTTAAGTCATTCTAATATTTTTTTTGAAATCTGAGGTATTTTGGCTTTATAACCTAACTTATCAAGACGATTGTTGAAAAAATGCCCGAAAAATAACCAATAAATGTTAAATTTGCAATAGTTATATTCTGATAATGTCATGTATGGACGTCCGTATTTACAAATATCGGCACGTTTATTCACGCACACAAAAATATCAAAATTCTTTTTAAAATGCTGGGGGTCCCTTTTCTATTTATGATTATTAAATATAGTTATATTCAATAACAATATCACCTAACCACTACAAATTAATATAGAATTTTAAAATATCTAAAACTTTATAAATTAGACTAATTAAAATTTATTAAAATGAAATTAATTCTTGTAAAAATGTATTATTCATCGAAAAAATATTTTTCGTATGAAAATAGTATCCATAATATATTTTATTCATAAAAGCACTTACAAGCGTCTCTAATCAAATACTGTCTACTTAACGATTCAGAGCAGATTTAGCTGATTGTATGGATTGAGAGAAAAATTGAAGATTTAAATTCTCCAATGACATGTCCTTACAAATAGTATAAACATTAAGCGCTCCAAAAATAGAGTTTTCCGAAACTTTATAAAATTAAATAAGTAGAGAGTAACATGAACAAATATTTTTAGTAAAATTTTCTAAAAAAGAAACGTTTCTAAAATAATTTAATTCATTTGTGAATAAGTCGTGAAAGTTTCACTAAAATCTAGCAATTATCTGATTTTTACAAGAATGTCCTATTCATTGTGTTTCTCACTACGTTGACGCCAGAAAAACAAGATTTTTAAACCCAAATAACGAAGGTTTAAAAAAGGATTGAGAAATAATTTTTACATAAAAAAATTATTTGTTCTTTTCTTTTAATAACACGACAATGATTCTGACGACAAAACTTTATTTAATTTAAGTTTGGGGCATATTTTTCACCACGTATACTAATTTTTAGCGAATATTTAGAGATAGATAGATAGATAGATAGATAGATAGATAGATAGATAGATAGATAGATAGATATAGTCCTTGACGAGGGATTAATTGAGGGCCCGTCTACGAAACCCTAGAGTCAGGATGCTGAAGACAACACCAATCAGCTAAGTGCCAAATTTTATGCTTGTATTAATTCTCTCTCTCTTTCTCTCTTTTTCTCTCTCTCTCTTTTATATATATATATATATATATATATATATATATATACATACACAGAGAGAGAGAAGACTAGACCGGATATACAGACTGATATGCCAAACTGAGACAGAAACAAATCACTGGGTGGGTGGCCGAAATGCCTCCCACATATACCTCTCAGAAATAACTCCCACGCCGTGGTAAGATATTAGCTAAGTGAAGACACCGTTGCCACTAATGTCTTGCCATTATGTGGGAGGTATTTCTGGGAGGTATGTGTGGGACGTATTTCTACCGCACCCTGTAAATAGATAGATAGATAGATAGATAGATAGATAGATAGATAGATAGATAGGTAGGTAGATAGGTAGGTAGGTAGTAGATAGAAACAGACTGAAATACATAGAGAGGTAGAAACAGTCTGAAACAGATAGATAGATAGATAGATAGATAGATAGATAGATAGATAGATAGATAGATGCGAACAGATGAAAAGTGTTGATACTCTACACCAATCAAAATACTGGAAAGAGAGAAAGCGTGAATTTCAATATCGTCTGCTCGTTGGCTGTTAAATATTTCTTCGTCTTAATGTCGTCCTGATTATGATGACCTTTCCCCCCCGATCAGCCCTCTCTTAAAACTCACAGTGTCTTCTATAAATCTTTCGCGTATTACACTGTCTCTGCTGTTTTTCGACTGCCTGCCGACCTTGGCATTTACGTGCATTGTATAAACTTCATTGAAAACAGCTTCAGCCCAAGCCAAACGATCTCGCCTCTTCAACCGACCGCCTTTCGATCGACTGAGATCTTTCTTTCTTTCTTTCTTTCTTTCTTTCTTTCTTTCTTTCTTTCTTTCTTTCTTAACACACCTCATCTTCCGATCAATTTTAACCGTTTCTGTTTTGCCACCATTTTTCATATGGGATGCTTCTCTTGAACAACATGAATACATACTTTATCATAAGCCTCAAATGTTTAAAATAATGCAGTATTTAACATAAAGACATATGGCAGTTTTATATCACCATAATTATCATCATCATTCTCGTGGCCGTATATGGTTATATGGTCGCTACCCAAATGATCACGTGACCACCTCCTTCCAAATGTCTCGGTTGTTTGCCAATGTCTGAGACTCTGTGAATGATTCCATCATCATCATTCCCATGAGCGGGTATGGTTATATGGTTGCTACCAATCTGATCACGTGAACAAGTCCCTCCAAATGAGTCGGTTGTGTGCCAATGTCTGAGTCACTGTGAATTATCTCCCAGTCCACTCAAGAGACGTTGTCAGCCTATTTTATCGCTCTGCCTTTTCTTCTTTTACCTCTAAGGTGGTAACTTGTAGGATGACAGCGGAAGTAATGCTGGCTCTTATGATGTACGCATACAATTTCTACTTTCTCGTCTCGGCGCTGGATATAAAGCCTTTCAGCGGGCCTGTTTCTTATTCGAGGCTGTCTTGCAATTTCATGGCTTTTATATACATGCGTTGTTATTTGCTAAGGTTTGTTTTGTTACAAGGCCAATGCACCCAGTTAGAATCAAAATCATTATACAATAGTAATGATGTGTGAGATTAGCTCACCAACCATTACCTCACGTCTAGGTAGAGAAACATTTACTTGGATAATCAAATGAGGTAAGGAGTCCTACCTATGAAGACGATTACTACACGAGCGAATAAACTATCACGACCTGAGGATTACCTAAAAATGCATGAAACTTTTAATGAGGGTTGGCAACCGAGAATTTATTTAGAAATATTAAGGCTCTGCCAATTAATATGAGATTGCTGTGCCTATGTAGAATAGTTCCTTGGGACTTGCTTACTTTATATCTTATTGACATTATATACTAAGCTCTGGTTGGAGGTGGGGACTTTTAGTGACCGGTATTGTTGAGCAGTATTTTGTCTTTAGCATTATACCCCATTTACTGAGAACCTATGATTCCCATGATATCGACCACATTTCACAGTATGTTTTTGCGTTTGTTTTTTTTTTGTTTTTTTGTGTGTGTGTTTAGCTTCCTTTTTCTTTTTTTCTTTTTTTTCTTTTTTTCTTTTTTGCTTTTCTCAAGTAATGGTAATTTTTCAGCATTTCCATCTTGATCAGATGAGCATTTCCCCTTGAGTTTGGGTGATGATTGCATGAAAACATATGAAACTTTTAGTTGTGGTCGGCCACTGTTCACTGAGAATTTATTTAGAAACATTAATGCTCAGAAATTAAATATGCCATTGAGCTCACTTTATTTTACCATTTATACTTAATTACGAAGTATTAGATTAATTTTTTTTTAAATCCAACAATAGACCTCTACCCATGTGCCCGCATCTATATACAGTGAGTCCCCCGTATTCGCGGGGGTAGGAACCAGAACCGGCTGCGAATAATTAGAATCCTCGGATACTTGTAACCCCCATAAAAGTGCTTATAAGTACCTATTTTGATTGTTAAAACCCCATATGCCTTAAACTTTCATCCGAAACACTTTAGAAACATTTTTGAAAAATAGTATTGGTGACCATACGCTTAGCGTAAATTTTCTTTCGTACGTACAATAACCGTTTTTAATTACGCATAGATCGATACAACCATTGAAAATACTGAATAAAATATGTGTAACAAGACATAAAATATAAAGTTTAAAACATTTTCTAAAAACAGAACTGTGTTGATGTCCCCAGACTTAGCATAAGCCACTCTTAAGACCCCCAGCCGCAGCCCCTAACAAAGAACAAAGCCCAAGCACTACGCATGTTTTTGCATTTGTTTTTTTACAATGAAGATGTACAATTCTGCCATTTCTTTTACCATAAAATAGATTGTTATATGTTTTAAGTCATTTAAATAACATAAAAGTAATACAAGAATATTTTTAAAATGTTCTATCGAAAAAATACGCGAATCGAGGGCAACCTCAGCGAATAATTTGTACATATGTTCTTTAGAAAAACACGGGAATATGTGAAGCCGCGAATGCAGAAACATGAATAACCGACGACCTGAGAATTGCGTAAAAATGCATGAAACTTTTAATGGGGGTTGGCCACTGTTCACCGAGAATTTATTTAGAAATATTAAGGCTCTGCCAATTAATATGGAATTGCTGTGCCTATGTAGAATAGTCCCTTGGGAGTTGCTTACTTTATATCTTATTGAAATTATATACTAAGCTCTGGTAGGAGGTAGGGCAGTATTTTGCCTTTAGCATTATGCTCCTTTACTGAGGACCTAATGATTCCCATGATATCGACCACATTTCAGAGTATGTTTTTGTGTTTGTATTTTTGTTGTTGTTGTTGTATGTTTAGCTTCTTTTTTTTCTTTCTTTTTTTTTTGCTTTTCTCAAGTAATGGTAATTTTTCAGCATTTCTATCTTGATCAGATGAGCATTTCCCCTTGAGTTTGGGTGATGATTGCATGAAAACATATGAAACTTTTAGTTGTGGTCGGCCACTGTTCACTGAGAATTTATTTAGAAACATTAATGCTCAGAAATTAAATATGCCATTGACCTCACTTTCTTCAATGTGCCTGTGAAGCATACTCCTTTGGGAGTTGATTATTATATATTTTATTATATTGGATAACCGGATAATAATATTGGATCATAATATAATTCATTACGAATCTTGAATGCATAGGTTGGTAGATAAAATGTAATTCACACTGTCGAAAATAAAGAATAAATAGCGTCTACTCAAATATTTGTTTCCAATAAAATATAACGTTTCAAAGAATAAGAGATTTAGTCGGATTAAAAACAAAAGGAATAATTGTATCTATCTATCTATCTATCTATCTATATATATATATATATATATATATATATATATATATATATATATATATATATATAGTTTATTCAAATTTAGGTAATCCGTATGGGTAGACCCGAGGAGGATGATATCCAGAGAGCTCAATGTAAAATTCAGAGCAGATATGTTTGAATAAAAGACAGACCACGTTAAGATTCCATGTAATAAGCTATTTCACCATAACCCCTTTAACAGGGTTCTGGATCATCAGACTTTACTTCCAAAAGCTGAAATGAAAAATGAAAAGAAATTCACACGTTTTTTACGGACCTCATCAAGTGTACGTAAAACTAACGAAGTGGGGAAGTGAGGTGGGAGAGAGGATATGAGTGTGTCATATATATCATTTTAGTTTCCTATTTTAACCCCAGTGTGTCGGCTGGATGTTGCTCAAATTTAACGCGTCTCGTCTCTAGATAAAGGTGGTTAAGGGGTGAGCGATAAGAACTACCTTAAAGGGAGACGTTCCAACAACCCCAATAAATTACACGACAGGTTTCATTCAAATTCTTAGACGCTGTCAGTTCGCGTTACTTTAACGTGCATATTTGGGAGGTTACGGTTTGATAAATATCTAAATTTTCAAACAATCTACGAAGAAATTAATTTGAAATTCGGTGGAGTTTTGGGTATTTTCTATGAAGCAGTCGATTGGAAAATCCATAGACAGAACATTGAAAGAGTAATCCAATTTATATTTAGTACTTTTTTCCACTAAAATTTTTATCTTATAGCTTGTTAGGTTGACATTTATTCGTTTGATTTTTGTTCATTAAGTAAACTCGTGGTTGTTTTTATGTATCCAGTTATCAACAGTTATTCCCATTTAAATAATTTTATTTTCCACATTGGGGTAGTATCTTTCAATCTCAATTAAAATACTAATCTAAATTTTCCCTTCGTGCTATTTAAAATTCACTTCCAGTTGGAGAATATTAGAGGAGAAATTTGGAAGAGATGTCACTAGCAGAAAATTAGGCCCTTCTTTTATATTTTCTTATCTACACATGTCTTAAACCCCTATTTGTAACCACATACCTATATCGTCTTATATGCCTGTGAGTTCCTATACACCTACACACACATTCACACGAAACGATATATGTATATTTCCATCTTTCCACATATACACCTGCAGAGAAAACGCACATCCACACGTCTCCATACCTATCCCCTTGTATACTTATACTTACATATATACATATACACACACGGACATCTGCATATACATATATACTCATACGCACATATATATATATTTACACATCCATACGTATACACATATACACATACATACACACACCCATATATGCATACATACATACATATACATACACACATATGCATATGCATACGCAATATGCAGAATATCTACATACCCACATTATTATGGAGTAATCCTTATTCCTATTGTTTACAATTTATATGCTCTGCTTAAATAAAACTTTGAGCCCTCTCTGCGAATCAGTTTTAATATTCTATTTTATATTATATTAATAAGATTTACTTGGATTATATATCACCTTGATTTCCTGTATATATATATATATATATATATATATATATATATGTAGATAGATAGACTCTCCCATAGATTTCGACGTATGAAGATCCGACAACCTCACTCAGTGACACCTCAGTCCCGATAATGACTTGCATACAAGTCTATATATTGTACAACACCAAGGCCCAGACTGGCTTGAAGTCAGAGTTTTCCTTCTACTAGGCATGTTGCCACCCAAGGCTATAGAACGCAGTCTGTCCTGCTATTTACACATAGCTGAGGGAAAGAAGAAATTAATTCATATCTTTCCCAAGGGTATTAGCACATAAGCGAATGTTATGAATTCGACTGGAAAAAGTTCTTTATCAAGGCAAATGCAAGGATTTTATTTT